GGAAGCAGAGTACAAGCTGATTAATTCTCTATGGCAGATCCACTGCTTTTTTAAGTACCGCAGCTCTGTTTCATTAAATTGTCGGGTTATCTTGTGGTTTCGTTAGCTTGCCTGGACTTCTCCTTTCTCTGGAATTTCTTTCTATACGAATTAATGGATTTCAAATGTTAACTTCCTGTTGTTTGTTTCTGTTGAGGTATTTAATAAACATACACTCAAAGTATCTGTAAAGTAATTTAGTACTGCTCATATTGGAATTTTTTTTTTTCTTTTTTTTTTTTTTTTCCCTTAATGCCAGGCTGGTAAGTTAAAAGACATGTGAAACTTTTTTTGTTGTTTGTTTTATTTTGTTACTGTTGTTTTCCAAATACTTTACTGTGTTTTAGTATTTTTTGTATGAATGATTTCTCTTTCAAAACAGTTTGGTAAGCACATGTCTATTGAGAAGTATACACTCAAACATTTTTCTGTCTTTAAACAGTTCTGTAGAAGGAATGCAGTTATAAGAGTGCACCTAGAGTGCCTCTTGAGAGCCATTAAACCACTTGAGCAGCTAAGTGAAATGTTCACTGATAGCACCGTTTACTTTAGTCTTCAAAGGTGTTCACCCATTTGTTAATTAAACTACAATATAAATAAAGGGCAGATGATAAATTGGAATATTGGTAATTTCAAGACAAAACTGGGGGGTGGTTGTATGTGTGTTTGTGCAGATGTTTTGAAAAAATAGTCTGGCTGTGATTGATTTTGAGGAACCATTTAAGAGAAACAGAAAAACATTCTTCAGTGAAATATGTCTATGAGAGAAATATATGGAACCTTACGAATTTGTTGTGTTTTGCAGTTGCTTTTAAAATACATACCCTGTGTCTGACTGTAGTTTGCAGGACAAAGAGAGAGGTACAGCTCTCCTTGTGGATAAACTGGTACTTACAGGTCATTCTATGTTTATATCTTCTTGTGATTAGCTTTTGGCCAGAATCACTAGCTCTTTTCAGAGACATTTGGAAGTACTAGTTATACTCTTCTACTGGTTTTTCTCCAGGCAGAACATCAGCTGCATACCTCAGTAGGTGATGAAAAGTCTGTTCAGTTTTCTGATTAAGAGACTCTTGAGTACCCAGTAGAAGCCAAATGCAATGTAAAGTCTTGTCTTGAGAGAAAAAGAGGGAGAAAGTGATCAGAGTGTGTGCTGGGTGTCTGAGGGCACTTGCTAGAATGATCTCCTTTTCTACAGGTTTAGTTCTGGAGAGTGTATGTAAGTGAAGGCTTCTGTTCTTCCCTGGACTGACTAATGAGAGTGCTTACCTTGTCAGCTCTGATTCTTAGAGCAGAGCCTGCTTTTCTCCCTGTCCAGTTTAGTCTTTACAGGAAGTAGGACTGTCTTTGAAACCTGAATTTTTTGGGTGGTTGACCTGTATTAGGCATGTTGGTATTCCTCCATCCTCTCCTTGAAGCCTTCTTCAGTAGTTTTAGGTGCGTGCCTTTTAGTAAACTCACCTTCTGCATAAATCTAAGATCTTGGTAGATTGAAAATGCCTAGTAACAGTCACTTTCTCTCGTAACTGTCACTTACTGTTACAACTAAATAGCTTGTAAATTATTAGAATTGTTCAAAAGGTTATCTTTGTGGTCTGTTTAGAAAGCAACTAGGATGTTAATGTTTTTGAAACTTACATTGAATGATCTGATACGTAAGATTTTGTTTTGACTTTAACTTTTGAGTCCTTGCAGTTTTCAGCAATTTTGTCACAGGGCATATATTAAATGTTCTTAAAATATGAGTTGTACCTTTCTTGGGCCTATGATTATTTTGTTTTCAGGTATTCAGCAAATCTAGTTCAAGAAATGTCTTTATATTTCATGTAATGGTGATACAGTTTTTCACGCTTGTTTGTATTAAAGTTACACATTTGTTTTCCCATGCTGCACTTATATTTCTTCTCCAACTTACAAATACCTTATACCTTTTTTTTGGGGGGTTCAGAATCAGGGTTCAGGAATCAGTTTAGACTGGCAGTGTCAGTGGGGACCAGCTGAAGTAGCACCAGAGATCTGAAGTAGAAAGCTCTGATTCAATACAAATGTATTTAGCACTATATCTGCTCTGTTAATTTTGTAGTTAAATTAAGTAAAGTTTGACTTCTTCAATTTTCATTCTACTTATATGAAAATGTTCAGATAACAAAATCCAGCAGGTGTGCTGCTGTGTAGAAGCAAGAAGAATTTTGCTACTGAGGGCCAGGAAACAAGTCTGCACAAGTAGCCTGGTCTTAATTTTTCTTACTCTTTCCTCTTCCTCTCCTACTCCCTGAAACACTTCCCTGCTTAAGTACATGTTGAAAATTGGAAATGTTAATGGCTTGAGTTAGAATTTTTAAGCCATGGGCATCGTCAGAATCCTTACAAGTTGTGATCAAGTTCAGCAAGGCATTATTAGCAATTCTGATGTTGAATTTCAGTGACAGTTGATTGCTCTGATGGAAAGGTGAAGGTGCCATTAATGAATTTTTGCACTAGCTTTTAATGGAGTAATCTCTGTGTCAGATGGATGTGAACTTTAGACAATTTGAATTATCTAAAAGCTAAGTAGCTGCAGTCAACAGGGTGCTGAGGTGGGGAATGGCACTAAAGGTCTCAGAACCAGTGCAATCCCTGGCCTGCTCAGTTCTGAGCATTTTGCAAACAGTGAGAAGTCCTAGGCAGGGTTGGGAATTCTTCATTGTTACATACACTTATTTTTCTTAAAGTGTTCACTTGTATAATTATGAAACAGTGACATTTAAAGTCTCAGTAAGAACTTGTACATATGTTATTTACTTTGCAGAGCTGATAAAAATCAAAGACAGGTAAAACTAGCAGATCTAAACTTACCTTTACTTAACTGAGTAATTGCACTTTGAGAATGAAATTGTTGCTGAGATTTTGGTGCATAAAGGATAATGCTATTGAAGAGATTGTTCACCCTTAAATTGCAAATAAGTGGCATTAATTAGGTCTTTGCTGACCTGTTCTGTGTGTTTCTGGTCCCGAGTACCTCATTGCTAGCAGAATTCTGCTCAGACTGGGATGGGTAGAAGGTGAAGATGGTGGGTTTAAAAGATAATTAGCTTCTGCTTTATTTTTTTAAATTCCTTTTGCTTTCAGATATATTTGTTAAGTATAATTTGTCTAGGTTCTCCCTTACCCCCAATTTTCTTGTATTTGCTTAGTGTATGTAATGAGGAAATTAATATTTTTTGCTTTGACTCAGCAGGATAAATGTTCTACATTATAGTAGTTTAGATTTGTCATTAAATGTCAAGCTGTAGGGCTTATTTTTGCCTGCAGCAAATTTCAAACTTAGGAGATTTAAAGTTGTAAGATTTTGAAGAGTATAGTGTGATTAAAATTTAGTATTACGTAATATTATTTTCCAGTGCTTGTAGCTTCTTTTTCCAGAGGCATCATTGTACAGTCCAGGCTTAACACTGCAATTCCATTTTCTCTTCTTTTGGAGAGAGTTAAGGTTTCTCTGTAAATTGAAAATGTCTGAAAAGATTTTGGTGTAATTAATGTTAGTCACTGATTATATGTAACATTTTTTAATATCATAGTTTTTTTTCTTGAGTACTAATGTATTTTTTTTTCTTGTTTAGGAGAATATATAAAAAATTGGCGGCCAAGATATTTCCTGCTAAAGACAGATGGCTCTTTCATAGGCTATAAGGAGAAGCCCCAGGATGTGGATCTGCCATATCCACTCAACAACTTTTCAGTGGCAAGTATGTATGTCTAGTATTTATTATTCACTCAGCATATTGACAAAATATCTGTTACTTATTTCTTCATGTGTAGTTCAGAATTACTGGTAGCACTGGAATTTTGATGCCGTGTGTCAGATTAGTGCACCATGAATCTTACGTCCAGCTCTACGGGTCATCTTTAGAAGAGCATTGAAATTTTACCCTGGGTTAGTTTTAAATTATTTTTGGATATCTGAGTTCTTGTTCGTGAGTGTGTGTGTCTGAAGTGTTTGTAACTAATGGTAACATTTGACAAATGACTGTTGTAAGAAGAAAATTCCTGGAATGCTTACCTTTAATCAGATCGTTGACCTCTTTTCTCTTTTCACTATATCTCTGAATTACTTGAAACTCAAATTAATTAGAAAATTATCTAGACTGTCAAATGGCACAAAATCATGCTAAATTATTTTTCCCTTGGATAATCAGGTAATCAGCTCTCCAGTCTGCTTAATCAGTAATTTCAAGCAATCAGACAATTTGCATATATTAGCAAAGCTACAAAGTGTGTATCTGTTGGATAAAGTGAAGACATTTTGTTTTTTTGTTTTCCACAAATGTTTCTTAACAGACAAATCTCAAGTTTTTCTGATCTGGCAAAATGAGTTGGGTAGAAGAGTGTTTCTGAGCAGAAATGAAAGTATTAGAGGAGCAAAACAAAGGGGGCAAAAAAATCTCCTTGAATAATAAGTTCTGGGTATCATAGCTAAAACATTCAAAGGAACACTCTAAAATGTACCCAGTTTCTTACAAAATTGTGTTAATGTAGTGCAATGCAATAAATGGCAGTGTTTAGTTTTATAGAGGAGTATTGGAGCCACAAGAGCATGTGTACTTAGGGAAAGGGTTCCGTTCATCTGTGTTGCTGAAGATGGAACAAATGCTACTGAGACAGAATTTACTTCTTTTCCTGTTAAAACTGTCTTTGAGATTCAATCAGTCTCTGAATGTGAGGTAATCTGGGTATTTTATTTGGTAGGAAAATAGTATTGTGCTCCAAGCCTATGTCTTGTCCACCTTGGTGCTCTTCAGCATGAAAGCAGTGATGTCTTTAGGTCATTCACGTGAGTAGGAATTGACTAGATTGTAGGCCATTACTGCTTAGTTATTGATCTGAATATCCTAACCTACTGATTTATAGCGATTAGTAGTTTCCTAGATACTTTTCCCCCATGAGCAGCAGAAAGAACATTTGTAGAACTACAGTTGTAGAACTACAGTAGGGATTTTGTCCTGCTTTACCATGCTCTTCATTGCATGTCTAATCTTCCTTTGCTTCAACAACTAGAAAAGTGATCCAAACAGTAGTGACGCTAAGTGAAAAAATGTGTAATTATCAATTAAGTCCAGTGTGTTGATACTGGTGGTTTGTTGTGTTTGTTTTTTTTTTCTGATTCCTAGAGGTCATCTTAGGTAATTATGATGGAAGAATGCTGCCCCTGAACTTTGCCTTGATGGAAACTGGAAGATTTCATATTGTTTTCCAAACTGACACCATCACTACCTTTACCCCCAAGACCCCCAACACACAAAAAAGAGTCCTTTCTGCAGCTAGCTAGCCCCATAGGTCTGATTCCCAGGCAATGTAAGCTAAAGAAACAGGGATGCAATATTAATTGAAGAAATGCAGTTTTGGTAAGCAAGATGAGTTTATCTGTTTTTCTGGCAGGAAAAGGAGTGACGTGATCAGAAATAATTGCTGATCAGTGCAAAAAATAGGGAGAATTTTCACTCATAAGAAGAGTCCCATAAAATTGGGTGAAGCACCTATGTGGAATTCACAGGATGAAAAGCCAGACGTTTCCTAGATTCAGAATATTTGGAGAAGATTCCAGTTTTTAACTTGGTTTTAATTAAATGGATTACATTTGATTTTGAGTAAGAAGAGCAAAATTACATGCTGCATGTAAAAGCTGAAAATAGAAAGCAGTATGGTATGATACTTTAAAAGCAAAAGACTGTAAGGTTTTGGTCAGCTATTTTATCTCTCTAAAAAAGAGATAGTCAGTAGGGCAAGCAAACAAACAACTTCACTGTATGAATGAATCATATCTTACTGGCAATACCTGGTAAATGTCAAGAACTGGTTTCAGGGCCTCTGATCCAACAGTTCCTGGGCTGCTGCAGTAGGTTTCAGGCCACAAGCACTGCAACATATTTTTCCTGTGATAGTGAAGTACGTTTTTCATAAATTACTAGCCAGGCAGATGGAGTGTGAGATCACTGTTAATACCATCTTGATTAGGTTGGCAGGGACTTACAGATATGTCTTTACAGTCCTATCTTCACGTAATCTTTGTAGCTATCTGTAAAGTGAGAGTGTGGTCTCAGTCTACGTTTTGCTCTCCAAATGATAGACATCTTTGGCTCTTGCTTACAGCTTGTTATTTAAGCAGAAAAGGCCAAGGCTGTGGTATTATTTTCGTAGTGCTGTTGAACACTGGAAAGTTTGCACAGCACTGCTTTGTATGATACTTATTCTGTAGTTTATAACTTTTCTATATCCAGCTCTGTCAAACTAGATGCTTCAATCATACAGATACTTTCTCATCAGCGTCTGCTGCCTTCCACTCCTGTGACACAAGGCTTATTTTTTGAAAAGGCTCTTCCCTATGCATAGTATAATTTTTTCCACAGAGTGGCTCTCTGGTGTCTTCCAAGGTAACTTTAAAGTTCTACACCTGAACAGTGCTCTCTCCTTGGTCTTACGTCATCTGTGTACTCCGTTAGGAATGACAGGAAGGCTGCGGAGAATGAAGTGATTTTACATCCTGCTAAGGGGGCTTCCAGTGCTAAAAATGTCTCTGTTAATAAATCCTTTCTCATCAGGTGTTTTGCCATGGGAAGGCATGCTCAGAGGCCCTCCCTTTTCCTTGGGATGGTCTGTGAGGAAATGTGGGTGTCACTGTTTGACTCAGGTCCGACAACAATGCTCTCTATCCCCTCTCCTCCCCACCCAGGTAGGGAAGGAGAGAGAGAAAAAGAGAGAGACTTGGCTGGATTGAAAACTAAACTACACAGCTTTAATTAAAACACTAATGAATGATACAAGAAAATATATATGATTATATACAGATATATTCAGGTATGGGCAAAAGCCTCTCGCCTCCCCCCACCCCCAGCAACTCCCACAGCACTTCCCTGAACTGGGAAGAGTCCCGAGGAATCCCGGAGCTGCTGCTGGAGAAAGCACAGAGTGATGAGGGTCAGGAAAGCTTGAGCCTAAGGGTCAACGTTGATGGATGGATGGAGTCCTCCCCGGACACTGGCCATAGATGGAACAGAAGGGAAGAAGAAGCAGGAAGGAAGGTGTCTTCTGTGATCTCTGACCTTTCTCTGAGCTTACGTAGATACATGGAACGGAATATCTCTGGCCAATTTTGCTGTCTGTCTAACTCAGCCTCCTACGGGGGGGATCACAGATCTCCCCATAGTGTCTGAGCTGGCAGAGTGAAGGTGCAACCTTGAAGCCTCAACAGTTACGAAAACATTCTTCTGTCTTATCAGCCTAGCAGAACACATTGTTGCTAGTTAAAAGAAAGCTTACTGAAGGAAAAAAAAAAATCAATAAAAGGAATATTGGCTTCATCCTGGCTCAAACCAGGACAGTGGGGAGAAGGTGTTGGGAAGTGAGCATGTAAACAGGTACAGGCTTTACCTAGAGAGAACCTGAGGCAGTGTGATCTCACTTGGGCCCATTGCTGGCTGCCCAGAGTGGAGGGGAACCGTGTGGGCCTGAGATGGGCGTGGGTGATCTATCATCCTGGACCTGAAGTATGCCTGAAGATCAGAGTTGACTGAAGAGTGTGGTGGAGTGGGGCTGGATGGAGCTGAGCTCTGTCAGGGAATTATGGGACTGGCCTCTGGGTGTCCTGGGCTGGGGCTTTGCATCCAGCGCGGCTGCTCTTCAGACACATGCACAAGCCGGCGATGAGCACCCTGCACTGCATCTGCGGAGCTGCCGCAAGGTTGCAGGAGTGAGTGAATCAGCCAGATCTCATGACACCAGACAGCGTGTAGGAATCACTCTGGTTTCTCTCATTTGGAGCCAGCTTATTTTATACCAGAGTTATTTTTTAACATGGGAGTTCAGAGAGCTGTGTATTTGAAGTATGCTTTTACTTCCTTGGTGCTCATCCCCTGACACTTGGACTCATAAAAAGTCGTGCTGTAGTATCTAAGAATACATGTAAAAATTACAGTAGTGGGAAATTCTTTGTGGAAACTTAAAACCAGTTGATACTACTTTTCAGAGACAAATTCAGAAGTGTGAGCATACCTGAATTGGCTGCATCAAAATAAGTTTAGCTCTTTTCAGGTAGAGGCAAGCAGTTGCAAGTAATCAAGCTATTGTAGCTTGAAGACATACTCCTGATGGACTGAGTTGGTGTGCATTCCTAGCCCACTTCAGCTGCAAACTAAAACATGTTAATGTAAATGTCTTTTGCTTAGGCATTTGTGCAGTCAGAATCAGTTTAAAAATAATTTGGATTCAATTACTGTGACTTTTTTGCACAGACTGAAAAATGTCTGAAAAAAATGGCCTCGCTTTTAAAACTCCATTACACTTCTTTGGAACAAAACTAGTACTCTGGGTGACAGGATGTATACCCTCAGTGCCCCTTCCCAAAACCAGCATGGCTTCATAACACTGTTTTTTACTGGTCTGGCTTTGCCCAAGTAGAATCAACACTGCTTTGTGTAAACCAGCTTGGTCTTTGATAGTTATGATTAATGGAGCAAGAAGAGCGGTCAAGAAGAGGCAGTTGCTTCCATTCTACTTAAGGAGCATTTGTGGCCTTACTGTTAAAAGAATACTTCCCACATATGCAATGTGTATGTAGGTAATCACATAGCACATCTGAGAAGATGCATCTCTGAGAATTGGCCCTTTGCCTTAATTTTGATCTTTACACAGGGAATGATTGGGAAAAGCTGTACTTCACAGTGGCCTTTGAGCTATGGCCAAAAATGATGTC